TCCTCCTGGTCCCTGCTCCATCCCTCCCTTCCTCCTGGTCCTTCCTCCGTTCCTCCTCCTGGTCCCTGCTCCATCCCTCCTCCTGGTCCCTGCTCCATCCCTCCTCCTGGTCCCTGCTCTGTTCCTCCTCATCTCCTAGACACTCTCCAAGGCTCAGGATCATTAACCCAGCCCCCTCATTTTACTACACAGGGTAGTAGAGTGTAGCATATCTTGCTGATGACAAAGCTGGGTTCTTCTGACCCCCAAGCCAACACTTTCCCACCTGTGGTTTGATTCAACAGTTCAACAAAAGCTTATTAAATAACCCCTATGTGCCAAGCCCTGTGCTAACCACTGGGGTAAAAAATGAAACTGTCTTTATCCTCAAAGACTTTGGATTGGGAAAAGAGGAGGCAAGGGCGTAGGGAGACACACATACTATGTGGACACAGGCAAGCAGCTACAAGATAATTTGAGAAGGGAGAGACCAAGAAAAGGCTGCTAGGTTTAGTGCTAAGAGACCCATGGAAGGTCATCTTGGAGACAGCAGTTTGAGTGGGGTCTCTGCAGTGAGACAGTGGAGGCCCTGAATGTAGATGGCGCTTTCTAGGAATTTGGCAGTAAAAAGGAAGAGAGGTAGAGGGTGACAGCTTGGGGGGATGACAGGATCAAGTAAAGGTCTTTGGAGGAAGGGGGGGGGGCCCGAGCATGTTTCTGGGCAGTGGGGAGAGAGTAAGTAGATAGGGAGACGAAGATGAGAGAAAGGGAATGACTGAAAGGCCAAGCTTCAGAAGGAGGAAGGCAGGAATAGACAGTTTGGCCCTGAGCAAAAGGGTCACCTCTTTCTCTGAGACTTAAGCAAAGCGAGTTTTGAGGTGTGCAAATGCCCGGTCTCAATGTACGTGGGGAAGTCAGAGGCGAGAAGAAGGGAGAGTTCTCTCTCATGGAGAATGAGTTGGGGGTTTCAGGGGAGAAAAAAGGTTGCCAACTCTCACTCTCAGGACTCAGTAGAGAGCCCACTGGGGAAGGGTAAAAGTCTCGGCAGCAGCAAGCGACAGGCTGAGGATGGCTAACATGCCCCTGGTGCGGACACAGCCCATGTGGCTGCATGGCTTCCTCCAACTCAGAACCTCAGAAGAGTTTGAAAGCTTCACTCGATGGGGGGTGAGGGAGGCAAATGGCATCTCTCTCTTTGTGGTGAGCACTGTGGTTGTGGAAAATTCCAGTTCTTGAAGGAAGCTTGACAGAAAAGGACCATAGCACCTAGAGATGGATGGACCTTAGCAAGCACCTATTCCAAACCTCACCTTTTACAAATAAGGAAACTGAGGCCCCAAGAGGTGACATGCCTTGCCAAGATCTCCTGGTCAGTGAAATGTGTGACTAGATCCCAGGCCCTTTCACTTCAGGGTCAATGCTTTGGCCCAACAAGTCTAAGAAAAATCCAGGCCAGTGACTTTCATGGCTCACGCTGGGCTGGACCAAGGATGTTGGGGAAGGGACACTGACGCCAAGGCTGCTTTTCAATCTCTTCCCCCAGGGCCAGACGATGGCAAGGTCAGTTCGGGCAGTCACTTACGTCGAGTGCTCTGCCTGGCTCCAGGACAACATCCCCTCTATCTTCCACGAGGCAGCAGTGGCTGCCCTCAGCAGTCGCAAGCGCCGCCGTCGAAGGCAAAGAGGGGCTTGGAAAGGCTGCCTAGTGACCTGAGGCTGAGGCCATGTCTTCCGTCCCCCACGGCCAGCATGGAGATCCAGCCAGAAGGCCGATCCCTCCTCTGATCCCCCTGAGGAGGTGCGGAAGGGGCCGAGCAGGCTAGGCTGCCTTAGCCTCTGGCCCCAGAGCTGAGCCCTTTGCTGACGATGAACTATCTTCCACATACTAAAAATATTGCTATGACCCCAAAAGGTGGCCTGTGAGAGCCCCCTAGGACCTGGGTGGGGCTGAGCGAAGCTCCCCAGGGGCCTCCAACAAAACTGGGCCACCACCTGGCCTAATGGCACTTCCTCTGGACGTAAGCAGAACGTACCCTGTCATGACTGGACCTGATCTTAGCACCTTGCTTCCCTGGAAGCCAGGGAGGAGATTCACCCACCCTGCCCTCCAAAGGAAAAATAATAATAATAATTATTATAAAAACAACTCATTGCCCTATGCCTCTTCATAAGCAGCGTCCTCTCTTCTGACCCTGGCAACAGTAAGGATAACTCACGTGAAGTGAGTTTAGTTTGGCAGGGAAAGGCTTCTGGGCCCCTCTTACAGGTGAGCCACCCAAGGGTGTGCCAGGAGCATGGCCTGTGGCAGCATCCGGCCCATCCAGCCCTAGCCGGAGTCGTGCAAGTTGGGGATTTTGTTCCCCAGAGAAGGACTTTGCATCCTGGCCTCTGCCCTTTAACCTGACCCCTTCTGGCTCCTCTGGGCACCCCACCAAGGAGGGTCCTGATGTCTATCATAACGGAATCAGATCAAACGATGCTTAGTCTAGTGTCCGTAACACAGTAGGTGCCTAATTAGTGCTTGTTCCCTTCCCCCAAGGAGGCACTGGTTCAGGACCTGGGTCTAGTTAGATGTGGTTCACCAAAGGCTCGATGTGGCGTCTGGCCAACGAACACAGCTCTGCATGACTCTGGGCAAGTCACGTTTCTCAGGTCTCACAGGCCGAGTCAGAAGACTGGAAGGCCTTGAGGCCAAGTGGGGCCCTGGGGAGGGAGTCTCCCTGAAATGGGTTTTCTCTATAGTGACCAAATCCCAGGTCCAGATGCCCCTCTCCCAGCCGTCCAAAGAGCTGCCCGCTGGTGCAGCTCATGTGACTGTCGGCTTAAGTCCCCTCCTCTGAGCCACACAAGCACCCGTGCAGGGGCAGACTGAGGTCCAGGGCAGTTCAGCTGCTCCTTTTCCTATCAGTGCCACGAATCCCTCCAACCAGCCGGAGGGCTGGGCTGCCCTGAGCAGCCACCAGAGCCCACAATGCAGCGTGCGCAGTGTGACCGTCAGACAGCAGACGGATCCTTCCCTGGTAGAGCCAAAGCTGTCTGGGGCAGGCATGGCTGTCCAGCGAAGTGCCCGGCACCTAGTAAGGCATTTAACACACGCTTGGTGACTGCTCACCGAGTGCAACCAATGGTTCCTTTCCTAACACGATACACTCGCTGGTTCAAATTCTTACTGCGTGTTTGGCTCTGAGAGAAATGCATTAGCGAAGACACAACCCTTGTCTTCAAGGCTCACTGTCTGTATGGGGAACAAATCACACCCAACAGCTGATGATCAGGACAGACATAAGACAGGCTCCCACCCAGGGCGCCATCTCTGCTGACCTCCAACTGCCTCCTTGCCATCTCGTACGGGGCATCCAGGAGAAGTCTCACGCTCCACGTGGCCCAAACCCATCTCCTATCCTTCCTGCCAAAGCCTCTCATTTACTAAAGCCCCCATTACTGTTCCGGGCACCACCCTCTTCCCAGCCCTCCACCTCCAGGGTCACTCCTTCACCTCACCCATCCAAGCTGTTGCCAAGGCCCGTCCCTTCCCCTCTGCTGTGTCTCTCCAACAGGCCCCCTTCTCTCTTCTGACATTGCCCCCACCTTGGTGCGGTCCCTCATCATCTCATGCCTGGCCCACTGCAGTAGCCACTGGGGGGGTCGGCCTGCCTCAAGTCTCTCCCCACTCCAGGGCTGCCCATGTCACCCCCTACTCAATAAACTCCAGCGGCTCCCTATTGCCCCCAGGATCTAACACAAAATGCTGTTCTGCATTCATCACAAGCCCTCACCTACTTCCCCACGCTTCCTCCATGCTCTCAGCTCCCAGCATTCTCTCTGGCTGTCGCCCATTCCTGGAATGCTCTCCCCCCTCTGCTCTGACCACTGACCTCCCTGGCTTCCTTCGCGTCTCAGCTAAGATCCCTCCTTCTGTGAGAAGCCTTTTCTGGTCACCCCTAATGTGAGCACCTCCAGTCTCTCTTATCTCTCACTTGTTTGCACAAAGTTGCTTGCATACTGTCTCCCCATTAGACTGGGAGCTCCTTGAGGGCAGGGCTGTCTTTTGCCTTTCTTTGCCCCTCTAGCACTCAGCACAGGGCCTGCACATTCTTGACTTGTTACTCTTTCCTTACCTGCCACATCCCCACCCCCCTCCCCAGCCAGTCTGATGATGGGCATTCTAGCCCCAAACGTGTGGCTACTAGTTGGGGAAGGAAAGGACAGGTATGGAAGCAGAGACGGGGCCAGGGAGTGGGAGCCATGGGAACCAACAGCTAAACCGTGGGAGGGAGATCACGGCGGAGAGGCCCCAACCCTCAGAGTCTGAGCCTGCCCAGGGCCTTGGGGCTGGCTGGCTCCTGGCTGGAAAGGAAGAAAAGACAGAAGGAAGGAAGGAAGGGAGGGAGGCAGATAACTGGAGTGTTCAGGAACCCAAGGAATCATCCCCTTTGCACAGACCCCACCCTGGCATCCCTGGGGTGGGTGGGGCCCACAGGAGCTCTGAGTCACATCAGGAGGGTGGGGCCAGGGATGTGCCTCCTAGGGCAGTGACACACAGGCCCTGGAGGGTGGGGAGCCCTGCCTTGGCCTGCTTGGCAACTCCTGCCCCGAGAACAGCTCCTCTGAGAAGCAGCAGCCAGCACAGGGGCCCTGGGCCAGAAGCTCCCATCACAGCATCACCGCCTTCAACCTTCTGGCTAGAGTGGGCGCTTTCCTGTCTGGAAACTGGAGCAGCCCGGATCTCCAAGATGGCACTCCCTGCTGCATCCTGGAAGGCAGAGGCCGTGCCCTTCCAGTGCCCCTGGCTTCTTCCTTTGCCTCCACCTCGCAGGATCTCAGGCCTTCCTTTTCCCCCAAGGCTCACTCAGGGGTACCTCCTCTCAATTTCTGGGACTTCCTCTCTCCTTACTGTATGGGGCATCCATTTTGTGTACACACTATGCAGCCCTCCTCCTCATCCTAATAATAATTGCCTGTGTCTGTCTGGTGCTTTTGTTTTTTCTTTTTTTCTTTTCTTTTCTTTTTTGGCTAGGCAATGGGGTTAAGTGACTTGCCCAGGGTCACACAGCTAGTAAGTGTTACGTGTCTGAGGCCAGATTTGAACTCAGGTCCTCCTGTCTGGTGCTTTTGCAAAGCACTTTCCATGGATTAGCTGATTTGATCCTCATGACGACCCTGGGAGGTGGGTGCTATTATTAGCCCCATTTTGCAGATGAGGAAATTGAGGCAGACAGAGGCAAAGTCATTTGAATTTGTCTTGAATGCGACCCAAAACAGCCACACGGTATGGGAAGGCTGGCCCCCAGGGTTCCCGGGGCTGCTGCCTGGGGGACCGGCCTGAACGGGGCTCGATGACAGGCTAGTGGCTAACAGACCAGGCAGCCCCCATTTGGTGTGTCTGGTCTGCCAGAAGGCTTGGGTACTCCACGGGGAGTGCCTGCACCTGCCAGCAGAGGGCAGCAAGGCCCTGAAAGGCAGGGAAGCAGGTGGAGGCTCCCAGGCTCCTGGCCAGGGCTTATCTCCTTCCAGCCCCTCCCTTCCAGGTGAGGAGCCTCAGGCCCAGAGGGGGTTTGGGAACAGTCCAAGGTCACACAGGACAAGGTGGCAAAGGCAGGATTTGGCTGGCCCCTGTTCCCTGGCTGCTTCCATACTAACCCTGGCACTGGCACGGAGTTTCAAATTCGATTCAATAAACACGTCTTAAGCATCTGAGCACGAGACTTCTGGGTGCCCGGTCGGAGATGTCAGGAAGGCAGTTGGAGCTCAGCAGTCATGTCCGACTCTCCATGACCCCACTGAGAGTTTTCTTGGCAGAGATACTGGAGTGGTCTGCTATTTCCTTCTCCAGCTCATTTTACAGATGAGGAAACTGAGGCCAACAGGGTGAAGTGACTTTTCCAGGGTCACACAGCTAATTAAGTATCTGAACTCAGGAAGACGTCTTCTGGACTCTGGACCCAGCACTCTATGCACTGTGGTGCTATCCAGCTGCCTTCATTAAGCACCTACTATGTAGGGCACAGAAACAAATAAATCAGGCCCTGTTCTCGAGAAGCTTGCCTTACAAAAAGGCACCTAAGGGACAGCAGACAGAGCACGGGGAGCTAAAGTCAGGAAGACCTCAGTTCAAATCTGGCCTCGGTGATCCTGGGCAAGTCACTTCCCCTCTGTATACCTCAGTTTCCTCATCTGTAAGACAGGGATAAAAATAGCACCACCATCACTCCCCCCCACCCAAGTTGTTGTCAGGATCAAATCAGCTACTACATACAAACGCTCTGCAAACCTTAAATCATTATAGCTAGCTGATATTATCATTATCATTGGTGCATTCTACTGGGAGCGTGTGTGGAGATATGACACCCATGTAAGAAAATAAATGCAAAGTAATTTCAGGAGAGAGGGAGAAAGACTGCATGGAAGGGAGGGGCCAGGTCTCCTGCAGGTATCTGAGCGGGGTTTGGTCCCTCCCTTTAGGGGAGGAAGGGATGCAATCTGGGCACCCATGCATAGGGAGCAGCAAACAGGAAAGCATGACTAGACTAGAGAATGGCCACAGAGGAGCAGCAGACAGAGCCCTGGACCGGAGATCGAGTCCTGCCTCAGATACTAGCTGTGTGACCCTCCGTGCCTCAGTTTCTCTCTCTGTAAAATAAAGGAGTTAGACTCCATCACCACTAAAGTCCCTTACAGCTCTAAATTCCCGGGCCTACGATCCTCTGAGCGGTTGTTAGGATGGAACCAGATAGTGAAGGGTTTTAAATGCCAAAAGGGGTGCTATGTTTTGTCCCAGAGGCCAAAGGGAACACAAAGTTTCTTGAGCAGGGAGTATTCGGCTCAGACGTGTGCTTGGCAGCTGAGTGGAGGATGAGATGGAGACGGGGAGGAGGGTTGCGAGGAGACCAAGCAGGAGTCTCTGCGACTGTCCCACTGGGTGGGGGACGGGGAGTGGGGATGGAAGTCTGAGCAAGACTGGTAGCTGGGGGACGGAGTAGAAGGGGGCAGATGCCTGAGAGGTCTGGAGGGAGGGTGGACAACAGCCACCAGACTGGATTTGGGGTGGAAGGAAAGGGAAGAGTGCAAGATGCCTCTTTGACTGGGAAGCCAACAGAAAGAAGAAAGGGGAGAGAAGGGGTAGGTTTGGGGGAAAACAGGGCGAGT